CACCAGGATGGAGGTAGCAACCACTGACGTGGGTGTTGCAGAACAGCTGGACAGAATGGTCAGGTTAAATGGCAAGAAGAGGCGCAGAAAAGTGTGGCTGGACCCAAAATCTCTTGTGGCTGGAAACAGACAGCCGGGAGAGGTTTTGGGAGGTCAAAAGAAAGCATCAGTGATCAATGACGATGAAGGCCTAGCAAAGAGTCCATCGCCTGCCTGAAAGATCCCTTAAACGTGGGCAGTAAAACCTAAGTGAACCAATTCTAGAAAGATGGAATTACAGTTAAGAAAATGAACGTGGGGGTGCCTGGGTGGCTCGGTCGGCTGAGCGCCTGACCTGGGCTCAGGTCATGATCTCGCAGTTCATGGGTTTGAGCCCCGCGTTGGGCTCTATGGGGCCCGCTTTGGATTCTGTGTCTCCTTCTTCCTCTCTTCTTCCCCCACTCATGCTCTGTCTCTCACTCCTTCAAAAATAAACATTTTAAAAAATTAAAAAAAAAAAAAACATGGACACAACTGAACAGAAAACCAACAGTGCAGAATTAGAGGAGGAAGAATGACCAACTTGAAAATGTGGTTGTTGTTTGCTCTGTTTTCCTTCCCGTAGTATGAGCTCCTTTGATCGTCTTGCCCTCTATGCGGTTGTGGATTAAGTCGCTGTGATTTATCTTATTCTCCTTTAGAATAACAACTTCGTTGTTGTGTCATTCCATCCAGAACAGGCAGCTCTGTCTCCAATTTCCCCCGACTGCTTTAGGGGAAACAATAGTGAGGTGTTCATGCTGAGGCCCTGCCTGCCCGGGGCCGCAGTGGGCTGGCCCGTATCTGGTGGCCCCCACCAGTGCGGTAGCTTAGCCATCACGGACCTGTCGCCGAGCCCCACTGGGGAGGAAGGTTCCCTGTTACCTGCCGTTCTTCCTCTAGCTGTAGGTTTATCCCTGAATGTGAGTACCCAGTGTTTCACCTCAAGCTCTCATGGGGCCGGGGACAAAGAGACACAACCCAGGCTCCTTGGGTGCCATTTTGTAAAAATAATCCCCCTGCTCTAGCTCCTGAGCCAGCCGTCTGAGGGTCTGAGGGCTAAGCCTCCCCACCACTTGAGCTGCCCTCCCAGCAACAAAAGTTAATAATGAGGATTAGCAGGGAGAAAGGAGGCCAAGAAGACAGGAAAGTTAGATGTGTGGGTTGAGCACCGGCCTCAGCCTCGAATTTCTGACAGGGCTGTTTTAAACGTTTGGCTTTGGCCTTTGAAGAAGAGAGAAACTATTAAGTTGCCGGGTGTTCCCCTGACCTTGATGAATGCAGATGACAGGTGACAGCCAGTGTGAGGGTTGATGTGCTTCCTGGAGGACATAGAGCTCTGATATTCTAACAGTCGAGCAGCGTTTTTTTCTACACTCAGAAATACAGCAGCTTTGTGCTGGCTCTCTCCCTCAGCGAGACGTTTTGTTGTTGCGTTTTTGTTTTGTTTTCTTTTTAAATCCTGACGCTCTTTGAAATATCAGTTAAAAGGTGGCATAGAAACCAGAAGATGGCCCAAGTTCGAATGGCCTCATGCTACATACAGGCCGTTCCCTGGCAAGCAGATCTGGAGAGTGGTTGGAATCTCTTACTATCGGTGCTAATCTTTGATGATGACATTTTAGCTTACGAGTCCGGGGCTAATTACCCAATTGCCAATTAACGCACGGTGACCTCATTTGTTGACAACATAGCGGGTCAAAGGAAGAGGAAGGGATGGGAAAAACATCCATAATTATTCCCATAAGGACGGGGGTGCTGAACATCGACTTGCGCGGTGTCATCGGGGTGGGGTACCGACTTGGCGAGAGCTTGTTTGGTGGCTTTGTTCTAAGGGGAAGTGCCCAGACTTGTCACTAGAACAGGAGAACTTGCCCAGAATGCAGCAGCTCTGACGAGGCCACGTTAGGGGAATGTTCTGTGGATGGGGACTCGAGAAGCATGCACGTGACGGGCAGTCTGAGGGAGCTGCCCTGGGATTCGCTAAAGCAGTCATTCCAGTTCATTCTGGTGAGGTGGAGTCCTGTGCAGGGTCCCTGGCAGAGCCAGAGTGTTCCGGTCGTATTGAAACGGAACCAACATATAACGCCGTATTAGCGTTAAGCGCACAACATGATGATTCGATGTGTGTGTGTGTTGTGAAATGATTACCACGGTATGAACTGAGCTAACACCCATCACCAGACAGTTACAGTTTGTTTCCTTGTGATGAGAACTTTTAAGATCTACTCTTTTAGCAACTTTGAAATCTACAGCACAGTGTTACCAACTTACAGCCGCCATGCTATACACGTAGCTCCAGAACTTACTTATCTTATAATTGGAAGTTTGTATCTTTGGGCCACTGTCACCCGTTTTTCCCACCCCTGGCAACTGCTAAT